AAAAAAAAAAAAAAAAAAAAAGCAACCGACTAATACCGGGCGCGGGCTGCGGTAGGCGGGAAATCGGGGAAGGTTTAGTCGTTTATCAATCCGCGAGCGACGAAAAACGGTTCGGTCGCACGCGTTTTGTAAACGTTCGCGTTTTTCGTCAAATGTCCGTATTTAAAAAACCCTCGTGAGAAAAAAGCACTGCGGTCGGTTTTTCTTTTTTTTTTTCATAAACTCGCCCGTATGGCCAGCGCGTGTAAACGCGAAACATTTTTGTTTTTTGTATCCGAACCGAACTGCAGCCGCAAATGTGCGAACCGACAAGATGAACGAAACGGCACTCGAAAGAGAGGATCTTGCCGACGGGTCACCCACCCACGAACGGGGTTTGCTGAGGGGCAGGGGCGGGGAAATGCGTCGGAATTCGGTATTCATTTTTTTCGTACGGCGGACGACGGTCTAAAATCATGACGTTTAAAAACCGGGAAGGAAAAAACAAAAAAAAACGAAACCGACCGCGGTCGGTGCATGATTGCTATTCGCGCTCGAGTCGTATTTTGGGCGACGCGCGCGCGACAGGTACACCCGTTCGTGACGGGCCATGCCGCGGCGGTAAATTCGCGTTTCAATCGTAGCGCCGGAATAACGTCGAGACCGCGACGACACGAATCGCGACGCGTCGCCCGCAAACGGTTACGCGCATGGTTCGCGGGTGTGTCGCTCGACGTTTTACGCTTTTACCACGTTTCCGCGAGATTACCGCGACGGCGCAAGTGGAAACCGGCCGCGGGCGTGCACATTACACGCGGCCGGGTGGGTCCGAGACGGTCGCGTACACGTAGCGTTTCGGAACGCGACGACAAATCGTTCGACGATTTTTTCCGCCCAAATAAATAACGGCGTGCCTACCTGTGCGTCTTTTACGCGGTACGGCCCGTGTACGAAAATCGTACTTTAAAAAAAAAAAAAAAAAAAAAAAAAAAAAAAGAAAAAAAGAAAAGCAACGGGGAAGGGGAGAAAATAGAAAATTATTTTCGCGCGGAATGATTTTGCAAACACACGGCGAATCTGTCCTGTTATGATAACTTTACGAGGGAATAACAGGGAGGGAGGGAGGGGCGTCTCCGGTTTCTATGTAATAGAATCGGACAGTTATTTTTTTCTATCCGCATCCCTCTAAATTTCGTTGGTTTTTTTTTTTTTTTTTTATAACGAAAACGTTAAACGTGATCCGGTCGAGGGATTTACAATAAAACAAAAAAAAAAAAATGTTTAACGTTAAATTGTTCTAATCGCGTTTTGTACGTGAAATAACGTCGAGTATACGACGCGGGAAAAAAATTCCGGCCACCCCCTCCCCCCACACGTTTTTCGGGGGCGGCGAGACCCGTCGACGAGAGGCGCCTACGATAACGGTATAACAAAATATAACGACGGGGGGGGGGAGGAGGTAAATAAATGACGACAATATTATAATTGTAACGACGGATACACTCACCGATGAAAAGCTGACAGTCGCGGAGGGCCTGATCGGATCTCCGGCACGGTCGCGACCGCGGCCGGCCGTCCGGCGGCGTGACGGCCTCCGTCGGTGCCGCCGCTGCTGCTGTCCGGACCGACGGGACAGCCGGCCGCCGCGGTCTGCAGTGTTCGCGGTAACATTCGGCGCACACGGCGGATCGTCCACCACCGTAAGAGCTCATCATCACGCGGCGACGACGGTCGGCGGAGGGTAAGTGTGTAACGTTTAGGATAAAAAAAAAAAAAAACAAAAAAAAAACAAAAACGAAAAAACGAAAAAAAAAAACCCCGTCAAATGCGACGCGCAGTCCGTTTGTATTTGCGTTTCGTACGGCGGCGACGGTCGAAAAATATGTCACACGCGCACCAAGAGCGACGTAGTTATGCCGGCGAATGCGTTTTCGATACGACCGTCGATTGAAGAAAAAAAAAAAAATATACAAAACTAACAATAATAAATTAAACCGATCGGGGGGGAAATGAAAAAAAAAAATCCAATAATAATATCGTTCACGGAGTAAAAAAAAAAAAATTTAATTTAAAAAATCGTTAATATAATAATAATATTACGATGTCGTGTCGCGGCCGATAACAACGATGCGTATAATAACAATAATAATAATAGTAATAATGAAAATTAAAAAAAACGGCGAGAGCGTACGCGGTGTTTGGTGCGACGGACGGATACGGATACGCGGATACGGATGTGCGTGCAGTACAGTCGTACGGATGACCACAGTCGACCAAAAACGATCAACTGAGATAGCCACCTGACTCCGGTGGACATTTAAGTCTCGGCGGTGGACCGGGCGGCGGCAACAGTGGCGGCGGTGGCGGCAACCGTAAGGGCGGCCCGCCGGGTCCCCCACCCGCGCGACCGCGTGGGTTTTCCACCCGGCCGCCGGTTGACCAATGGCGACCTGTTGAATGGTCGGGAGGACCGGCCCCGAGGCGACGACTACGGCGGAGTTCATTCATACGGATAGCGCGCGCTCCCCCTCCGCCGCCGCTCCGAAGTAGTCTTCGTCGCGGACGACGGACGACGGACGGCGACGTCGTCGTCGCCGCGGCGCGGCGCGGCACGGACACGCGGTGACGTCAACGAACGATGACATACTGTTCGGCCGCCGCCGCCGAGCTCGTTATTCCTCCGCCACCGCCGCCGCCGCCACCGCCGCCACCGCCGCCGTGGCCCGGTGGCCGTATTATTATTATTATTATTATTATTAATATCATTATTACTGTTCCGTGGGGGTATTCCCCATAGTGCAACTGGCGGCGCTACCACCTCCAAACGGCGCGCGGACCCGTCACCCCGGTCCGTTCACTCGGTCCGCGGTGTCAGTCGCGTAACGTGACCGTCGTCGCCACCGGAATCGGAATACAAATACAAATACACTGCGGTTTTTATTTGTCGAGCGTGTGTGTGTGCGCGCGCGCGCGCGGACGACATCACGTCTCGACGTCGCCGTATTTATCGCGAGATTTTAGAGAGCGAAAAAAAAATACAGAGACGACACGTGTGAGCGGACGGAAAAAAAAAATTGCCAATACACGCCGCCGGCATTGGGTCGCACGACGAAAATAATAATATTGTAATTGATTTCGCGGCGTTAAAAAAAAATTAATTCATTTACGTTTCGTCGTCGAATTGTTTGTTTGTTTGTTTTTTTTTTTTTTTCAAGTTTCTAGATGGAAAACTTTCCGGTCGTATTGTCGTACACCGTCCACGCCGAAAACGCGCATCTACCTCAACCGCAATCTACACCATCCCTTCCGGGGGGGGGGGGTTTCTTGACCTCAGTAAACGACTTTCAATTCTCATTGTTAACGAAATAAAATGTTGCGGAAAAAAAACCCCCGAATGCAGTAGATTTAATGTTGTTAATCGGTTACCGGTTAGGCGGTACAATTTATAAACGGGGTTTAATATTATGTTGTACATCGGGCGTTTCAAAGGCTAAACACGTCTGGTGTTAAAGAATGGACTAGTTTATCCGGAAATCGCGTTCGGTCCGTTCCGTACGCATGTAGTTATACCTACGACAAGTGCACACCGTCAATGTCCGACCAACATTTATCGTCGTAGATAACTTACAACGCGGATCAACGTTCGTGCAGACAGCGCACACGACGCGAGTTCCGTCGTCTTTTCCGTATAAGACACGCGCCGAAAATTGTCGTTTGGAACAACCGATTTCGGGCCGTCGATTTTCACGTTCGAGCGAATCGGTTTTCGGACTCCCGAATGGGCACGGGAACGTTATGCGGATGCCGACCGGAACGAACGTGTGAAAAAGATCTCAACCTCCTAAACCGCCGTAGAACCTTCTTAACATTTTAGCATTTAGCGTTTTTAGGGGTGGATACAAAAAATTACGTCCGTACATTGATGGCAGAGGGAGGGGCGCTCTTCTTACCGAACGTGCACTACCATCACCGTATACAAACCCAATTCACTTTCGATAAAATAATTGGTTTTTTTTTTTTTTTTTTTTTAAGTTAACCAAACTATAGTCTCGAAATATTATTCGACGTTATGTTTTTAAAACGGAACACAAACATTTCACCCCGGCGACCGCGCGCGTTTTATCGCTATTCTCGGGATTACAGAACTGCGGATTATACCGATGAACACCAGTACGTAGTCACATTTTAATTGAATATTGTATCGAATGAAAAACACGGCGAAGGCGGATCTGGAGATAGATTCGCTCGCTTCCGGTAAATACGTCACTGACTGGTGGTCGACGTACGACACACGTCGCCGGATACCGTTGAACGAAAACAATTTAAATTTTACGCGACGTCGCGAAACAACACGACGATTTTGTATAACCAGCGGTGGTTAGATGCAGTTGAAAAAGATTCAATAATGGATCTAAGACCGGAGTGAAATGGAGACCTGAACCGTGCGCATAACGCGGAAGAGTGAAAAAAATCACTTACTGAAAAAGGCCTAATAATGGTCTGTAAAAGCGTAAAAAATAAAAAATATATGTTTAACGCTGGAGGTTTTCGATCTTTACGTATACGCGACCCGGGGTATTCATACGGTCTTTTTTTTTAAGAAAATTTAACAGCGGGAACTGTCCCTCGCACGCAGTGGCGTGTACAGGGTAGGTTAGATGTTCCCCCTCGTTTGCTTTAAATTACGACGGCCGAGAGTATTTATTTAACGATTTCGTCTTGAATTTATATTATGTTCCGGCCGAAGTCTCGAGGGAAATATTTCGAATACAAATTGGCTTTTTTATTTTTTTTTATTCGACTTTTAAATTCTCTTTGACGACGTGTAAACAAATGTTGGCGAAATGTAAAGTTTTTAGTTTGTTTTGTATTTTGTTTTCGCGTTTTTCACGACCATTAACATTTGTTTTGGATTTTTCATTATCAAAACGTTGTTTTTTTTTTCTATTTTATTTTCTTTTTGACTTTGGGGCGACCCAAATGTCAAGAAACGCCGCCAATGCGTGCCGTTTCGGTATTAGTACAAGCGCGGTTTTTTTTTTTTTTTTTTACAGGTTTTCACGGAATAGCTATTGTAATAAAAACGCAGTTCTATTCGTAAATCTCCGGTTTTTACGGTAATACAATATCATAATAGTAATAATAATAACAATAATACATTAGTAGAAGTCGCATACGCGTATCGTATAGAGTAATATTATTATCGTCTCGTTAGAAAACTACGCAATGCGATGTTAAAAAAAAAAAAATCAGTATGTATAGGTACCAAATACTTAAGAAATCGGCGGTTTCGGAGTCGGATCAATCGATAATTTATACTATGATACGTTACAAATATAGTTTTGGATCCTGCGGCAGTACCGGCCCGGGGCCGCGGGATCAGTTTCTATAGATGGGGGTGGGGGCTATGATTTCGCGAGAAAAAACTGCAGTTTTAAACGCCAAATAAACGTATTATGCGGCGACAATATTATACAGACAACTGCTGATAAAACACAACGCGTAGAAGTCCGTTTTTTCTTTACTTTTTGTTTTCCAAATCGATATTACTATATTCTTAATATAGCGATCGACTCGGAACGCAAACTGATTGAATATTAAAAAAAAAAAAAAAAAAGTCAATACCAAAATATACGATAATATAAACGTTGTCAGTAGTGCGCGGATTCGTACGCACTAAAACGTATTGAAATATCCGGTGAATAATAATACGGATACGCGACGAATCTCGACAAATTAAAAAACTAAAATAAAAAGACGGACATACTTCGCACCGAGGGTTGTTCACTGTTGTTGGTGGGTAATCCGAAACGTAGGGTATACAGAAAATTAATTTAGTTAATAGTATTTTGTGTGCAGCGGTAAATCAATGGAAACGAAAAACTTGTTCTAAGCGTAGTATTATTAGTTATATTTTTTTGCTACGTAGTCAATCCGGAAACAAAAATAAAACTGATATATATTGATATTATTTTGTCGTTAGGTTTGTACACGTTATCGAACAACTGTTGGGGAACTAAATCATTTTTTTTCTCAAATAAAAAGTACTATATCCTTCGAAAAATCCGTATCTTTTACAGTACTTATGACAAAAACCGGAGCATTTTCAGTAACCGAAATAAGAAAAAAAAAAAAAAAACGCACACGCACACACATCTTAGTAAAACCAATAACATCTTCGGCCCCACTCAGAATCCAAATCACAAATTAGAATTGTGTAACGTACGATACGATAAATGACTTATTTAATAATTAAATGGTATTTCTTGTTTCTTATGGGAAATCCCGTCAGAATATTCGCGATGATTAACTGCACGTTTTATCGTGACGGATTGCAGGTGGCGCATGATCTCTGTTTAAACACGCAATAACAGAAACATTGTTAGCGAAAAATGTACAACTACGAAAAGGAAAAAATATGTTCACTGTTTGGACTTTACTTTTTGTCTTTCCGGGCTAACTGAATCGTTCCAACCGACATCGGAATTGTTGATTATTAACCCAGTTCATCGAAAAAAATGTATTTATTTCTTGCCCGTTGTATCCTCGTAGTTTATTGGTTTAATTTTGAAAACATTCTCTCTAAACGGTTGTCGATAATAATACTACAGACACGGTATACGCAAGGAACCTGTGCGCAAATTGTAAAATCTAGAAAATTGAAATTGTAAAATTTACAACGGTTTGGGATGCGGATAATCTCTCGTTTTGTATA